CTACTTTTGGTATTACCTTTTGATAACGAAGAGGCTATTGGGATAAGGCACATGCATCAGAAACTGGCTTTTCAAGATCTGCAGTCAGATCACCATATTTCTCAGGGCTGAGAATCAAAGTATCTTGGTTTCTTGAAAGAACCTGTATTTGGTAACTCGACAGTATGTTGAGTCCCTGTGGGCTGAGCAGGAGTCTCGTCATTTTTAAGCTAATTAAAAGGATGGATGGAACACATGTCCCGCTCTGGCTTATTTCATTATGATTCAAATAATTAATTTTCTTAGTTCAGACAGGGGGACACACATTCATTCTTTTCACACTTTTCCATAGAAACACTACATAATGTTATGACAACAATTGATATCTTCACATCTTTGAGCTAATTTCTATTTTTTTTTTTTTTTTTTTTGTGGTACGTGGGCCTCTCACTGCTGTGGCCTCTCCCGTTGCGGAGCACAGGCTCCGGACGCGCAGGCCCAGCGGCCATGGCTCACGGGCCAAGCCGCTCCGCGGCATGTGGGATCCCCCCGGACCGGGGCACGAACCCATGTCCCCTGCATCGGCAGGCGGACTCCCAACCACTGCGCCACCAGGGAAGCCCTAATTTCTATTTTAAAATCATTTTAGGATCTGTAGTGCCAAGTCATCAATATGTCTGTGCTGTGGCTACTTCTGGGCCTCCTTGCCTTTACTGGTGAGTGTGTTGCATTTTTCCCAAATGACCTTGGAGATGGGAAAGATAAGCATGGGAACATAGTGGTACTTCTGGTACTTAAAACTGCAGTGGAAAAAAAAAAAAACTGCAGTGGAAAATGTTCTTTTTCCCCCCAAGCTGTTCAACAAATCCTGGAGTTGCTAACAGCCACTGACAAGCAGCCTCTTGCCAGGTGCCTCACAAAAGGAGGGGGTTCTGCAGAATGTGGGGTGGACTTACAGCAGCATTGCTTGGGCCAGACTTTAAATCCATACCATTGAAAAATGCTCACTGTTCCTCTATAAAAATTCTTTCACCAGAAGTATTTATTGAATTTATTAATAGACCATATAATTCTACAGAAGCATTGACGTGATTTACCAATGTAAAACTAATGTAATGCAATACAAAACTAGCAACACTGGGATCAAGGAGATGGGACTCAGCTAACCACTGAGGCTGACATCGTTACCATGCTTGAATTTCAGATTCGGTCCTAAGGTTCCTTGCAACTGGGGCAAAGAGGAAAAGGCAATTTTTTTTTTTTTGGACAAAGAAAAGTAGGAAGCATGGCTCCTCAAGAGAAGCAAATTTTTTCCTGGCTCTGAATTTTGAAAACTTCTCAGATAGGGCCAGCCTTACATTCATTCCTTTCTTTCTTGAACCATCCATTCAACAAATATTTTTTTAAATTTTACAAGGAATTTTGGGACTATAAGGAACTTTGAGTGAAGGAGACAAGACGGCAGAGTAGAAAGACATGAGCTCACCTCGTCTTATGGGAACACCAAAATCACAGCTAACTGCTGAACAACCATCAACAAAAAAGTGCTGAAGATATCCTACATCCAAAGACAAAGAAGAAGCCACAATGAGACAGTAGGAGGGTTGCAATCATGATAAAATCAAGTCCCATACACTCCAGGTGGGAGATCCATAAACTGGAAAATAATTATACCACAGAAGTTCTCCCGCAGGAGTGAAAGTTCTGAGCCCCACATGAGGCTCTCCAGCTTGGGGTCTGGCAATGGGAGGAGGAGCCCCCAGTGAATCTGGCTTTGAAGGCCAACAGGGTTTGATCACAGGAATTCCACAAGACTGGGGGAAACAGAAACTCCACTCTTGGAGGGTGCACACATGGTCTTGTGCACACCAGGACCCAGGATAAAAAGCAGTGACCTCATAAGAGACTGGACCAGACTTACTTACTAGTATTGGAGGGTCTCCTGTGGAGGTTGGGGGCACAGCTCTGGCTCACTGCAGGGACAAGGACACTGGCAGTAGCAGTTCTGCGGAGTACTCATTGTGTGAGCCCTCTTGGAGGCTGCCATTTTCTCACCAACACCTGGCCCCACTCTACAGCCGGTAGGCTCCAGTGCTGGGATGCTTCAGGCCAAACAACCAACAGGGTGGGAACACAGGCCCACCCAACAGCAGACAGACTGCTTAAAGTCTTCCTGAACACACAGCTGTCCAATAAACCACACCCCCTGACACATCCCTGCCCGCCAGAGAGACAAGACCAAGCTCCACCCACCAGTGGGCAAGTACCAGTCTCTCCCACCAGGAAACCTGCACAAGCCTCTTAGACAGCCTCATCCACCAGGGGGCAGACAGAAGAAGCAAGAAAAGCTGCAACCCTGCAGCCTGTGGAGGAAACTGCAATCACAGAAAGTTAGGCAAAATGAGATGGTAGAGGAATATGTTCCAGATGAAGGAGCAAGATAACACTCCAGAAGAACAACGAAGGGAAGTGGAGATAGGCAATCTACCTGAAAAAGAATTCACAGTAGTGGTAATAAAGATGATCCACAATCTTGGGAAAAGAATGGAGGCACAGATCAAGAAGATACAAGAAATGTTTAACAAAGACCTAGAAGAACTAAAGAACAAACAACAGAGATGAACAATACAATAACTGAAATGAAAAATACACTAGAAGGAATCAGTAGCAGAATAACTGAGGCAGAAGAACAGATAAGTGAGCTGGAAGACAGAATGGTGGATTTCACTGTGGTGGAATAGAATAAAGAAAAAAGAATGAAAAGAAATGAGGACAGTCTAAGAGATCTCTGGGACAACATCTAATGCACCAACATTCACATTATAGGGGTCCCAGAAGGAGGAGAGAGAAAGGACCTGAGAAAATATTCAAAGAGATAATAGCTGAAAACTTCCCTAACATGGAAAAGGAAATAGTCACCCAGGTCCAGGAAGTGCAGAGAGTCCCAGACAAGATAAGCCCAAGGAGGAACATGCCAGGACACATAGTAATCAAACTGACAAAAATTAAAGACAAGGTAAAAATATTAAAAGCAACAAAGGAAAAGCAACAAATAATGTACAAGGGAACTCCCATAAGGTTTTCAGCTGATTTCTCAGCAGAAACTCTGCAGGCCAGAAGGGAGAGGCATGATATATTTAAAGTGATCAAAGGGAAGAACCTACAACCAAGACTACTCTACCCAGCAAGGCTCTCATTTAGATTCAACAGAGAAATCCAAAGCTTTACAGACAAGCAAAAGCTAACAGAATTCAGCACCACCAGACCAGCTTTGCAACAAAGGCTAAAGGAACTTCTCTAGGTGGAAAAGAAAAGGCCACAACTAGAAACCAAAAAATTACAAAAGGAAAAGCTCACTGGTAAAGGTGAACATACAGTAAAGGTAGGAAATCACCTGCACACAGATTTAATATCAAAATCAGCAATCGTGAGGAGAGGAGAGCACAAACGCAGGATACCGGAAATGCACCTGAAATTAAGACCCGCAACTTAACACAACCTTCCTCACATACAGACTGCGATATCAAATCCTCATGGTAACTGCAAACCAAAAATCTATAATAGATACCACACACACACACAAAAGGAATCCAAACACAACACTAAAGTTAGTCAACAAACCACAAGAGAACAAAAGAGGAAGGGAAGAAAAAGGACCTCCAAAAACAAATCCAAAACAACTAACAAAATGGCAATAAGAACATACATTATCAATAATTACCTTAAACATAAATGGATTAAATGCTCCAACCAAGAGACATAGACTGGGTGAGTGGGTACAAAAACAAGACCCATATATTTGCTATCTACAAGAGACCCACTTCAGATCTAGGGACACATTCAGACTGAAAGTGAGGGGATGGAAAAAGGTATTCCATGCAAATGGAAATCAAAAGAAATCTGGAGTAGCAATACTCATATCAGACAAAATGGACTTTAACATAAAGACTGTTACGAGAGAAAAGAAAAAGAAACTTTGGGGAGCATATAATGTGATTAGGGAGAGACTACAGGGCAAGGAATAATGAGTGACACAACCAACTACTATTAAGGGTATTTGTCACCAATTATAAAGATAAAAGTGCACTGATTAAAAAATAAACAAGGAACTGTTGGCTCATTTAATTTTTAGTACACTCATAAAAGACCAAGTCATTTCATTTCCTCATTTCTCTTAGATTACTCATCACAAGATTTTAAAATAGAAGTATTTACTCCAAAATACCAGCATTTTCAGATGTCAATCCCATGAAGCTCTTAGTAAGAAAACAGAACTTTAAAATGCATTTACACAAACCTACAGTACACAGATGATGTGTAACAGATATATTTCCAAAGATCTGCATATTACTAAGATTTGATTATATAATCTAATTTAGTCAAAGATTAAATTAGTCAAAAAGAGTAATCTAATGAGAAGTCCTTACAGGCTGGTAATAGTGAGATGATTCTGTCAAGGGGCAGCTTCCTGCCCCCTGTAGGTAACTTGTTGCTGGCTCATGTGCCCTCCTTGTGGTGTGAATTATAAATTCTAGAGAATGCCCTCCCCTTCAGTGACTAGAATGACAGTGAAAGTTAAGGAGAGAGATGGAAGGGCAAAGAGAGAAAGGGAAGAAGGGGAAAAAGGGAGCCCTGGCATAGAGATCTGGTCCTGGACCTCACAACATATCCTCCCGCCTTTGTTGTCTTAGGCTCCCACCTAGAAGTGCACACAAGAGCAGGGGAAGCCAACTCCAAGTCCCAGTTTACCAGCTGTGCCTTTACTTTGGGTCTGGGTTGAGATCCCAGGGAGGACCAGGCTTCATACTACATGTTTCTCCAGAGCAAACACAAGTATCTCACCAGACCAATGAGTTAGGAATATTTGAGGGAGAAGTGCCGAGTTCACCTAAGACACAAGATGAAGACTAATTTCCAGGGAACACAGAATCTCTGCTTTGATTCTAAGACACCCACGCAACAGCACTGTTCGGCCCCAGAGCTTTGCAAGTAGTATAACTGCTCCAATTGTTCTCGAGTCCATGGAAGAGGAGGTAAGAAGTTAGTATCTGTGATCACTTAGTTGCCATACTGAAAATTTCAAAAGTGTTTCCATGGCAAATTGAGTTCCTGTTGTCATTGATTTTAGTACAGTTATTTTCATTAACATCGCTTCATAATGGATAGAAGCAGGATCAGAACTACTAGTTCAGTGTCTTAGGCTGACATTTTCTCCATTTGTAGGCTCATCTGAAAGCAGCAGTGGGGGATGCTATGGAGACCTCCAGACCCTCTACGCCCCTGGGGCGTCTTGCGGGACTGGAAGGCGTCGAGGACTGAAATACTGTGGTATTGATCATCTCACTGTCCACCTTGCCCCCCTCCTCTTCGTCCTCTTTCTGTCAGAAGGTGACTCCTTTTGGCAAGCGTGGTTTCCACCGGGTTTTGTCCCTTCCCTTGAGATGCCACCCCAAGCCTCCCTGTCCTTCCCCACAGTTTTGATCCTCTCAGCATATCCTTTAGGTTCCCACTACTTCCCACAGCCCCACGCAGCGGAGTGATGGAGAGAGCACGGGACGTGGGGTCCACAGAGCTTGTCTGAGTGTTAGCTCTGGGGCTTCAACAAGTCACTCAGGTCTCCTGAGCATCCACTGGAAGGGTGAGAATAGCACTTACTTTACAGTGTTGACAGCTTTGTTTGATGTAAGGTGGATGAGAGTGCTTGTGAAACCAGGAAAGTGGGCTAGCCAGGTAAATTAGTACTGGTCTTCATTTTGCCATTTCTCGTTATTTCGTAAAAGTTTAGGCTCACATGATTCTGGGTGTCACTTTAGGGCAGAAAGGTGGGCAGGCATGAGGAAACCTGCCAGGGAAACTCTCCAAGGACTCCTTGAAGAGTTGGGAGAACTTTTCTCTCATATTCTGTCACATGGTAGCTGATGGACAGGTACATTTTATTGGGTCACTCTGGGATGTTTAGGATGGGGCTGATGGTGTCTGTGCCCATGGAATTTTCCAGGGTGGGCCAGAGCAGCCCCTGAGAGCCCAGCTGGGGAGCACAGAGGACACTCCTCAGGGGATATGGACGCAAGCTCAAAGGAGGAGAATCATAATCTCAGGTCTAGGGATGGCCACAAGGGATTTCAGACCAAAACTTGGGCTTCTCAGTCCTAGACCACTGACCAGGTCCTTGGAGTGTATTTTCTCTCTCTTCCTGAACTCCTGTCTCAGCACGAGTCACACCAAGCTGCCTCCTTCCTTCTGTGTTTGCTTTAAGAGTTCGTGCTTCTGAAAGGCTGGCTGAAAGAGACATGCCATACCTCCTGTGATATCAACCCATCATGTGTACAGTTGGCCTAAAGTGCTGCATGGACCCTGCTGTGATCGCTGGTGTCTTGTCCAGGAGTCTCGTGGTGGCAACGTCCTGGTCAATGTGGACAGTATGGGCGATGGAGCCAGGGTGGTGCAGGTAACCTGCCATCAATCATGTCGTGTGGTTTGTCACAACCCCAAGGGACTCCTTCACATTTGTTATTGCTGATGGCACCCCTGGAGCACTGCTCCATAGAATACGGAGTAAAAGATGCTCCCTGGAGTTGTGAGAACCACAGCTCCGCCTGGGAGATGTGACAAGCAACATTCCTGCTTCGTTTAGAGCCACAATTTCCTTTCAAAGTAAATTATGCTGTGTTTCCAGGCTGTCAGCAACCAAATCCTATTCTGGATTTCCAATAAGGTGATGGTGCAGGAGAGAGATCACAGATAGAATCCTTGCTCTGTTATTTTGTAACCATGTGACCTTGGATAAGTCATTTACTCTCCCTAGGTCTCAGTTTCCTCATCTATAAAATGCCATCTCAGAGAATTGTTATGAAGATTCAATGAAATAATGTGAAGAAGCACTTGGTATCTGGTAGATTCTCAACAAATACTGAATTCCCTTTCCCTTGTCTTATTTCTACACAATTCTTAGTTATGAAGATCAATTTCAGTTTTGCACTAATTCTGCCTGGTATCACTTGCTGCCTGATAGAAACTTCCAGGGAATGGGTCATTCGTTAACCCCACTGCCGAATTAACTCTGTGCTGGTTGAATTGGCGATGCAAGGGACGTAACGAGGACATGTTTCTTCCTATGCATTTCACATTGTTGTCAATGTTGAGAAACCTATAAGTATTGCACTCATACTTCAAGCTTTTAGGAAAACGTACTCCTCAATGATCTTTAAATTGGCTTCCCAAAGTACATGACGCTTGACAATTTAAAAGTACTTTCAAATACTTTATCTTATTTTGATGTGGGGACCCATCCAATAAACTGATGAGATGAAGTCGGTGGGGGAGGCAAGTCATCTGCCCTTTACAAGTGAGGAAGTGGATTTGCGAGGACAAAGTCATTGCCGCAAAGTCACCCAGCAGCTGGAAAATGCAGTACTGGGACCGAGGACGTCATTGGTGATGTCAGGGCAGGCATCGTTTCTCCTGCCCTGTTCTGCTTCCTTTGTAAAGGATGAGTCCATCTCCTTTGAAGATGAAGAAAGAACTCTCCAGAGTCAGACATTTCTCCTACCTATGGTGAAACCCACATGGTGTACAAGAAAGTGTAGAAAAGTTACCTTTAGACATTCAGATTATCTGAAAGGAGAGTTACAAGTCCAGATAGAAAAACCCCTTTCTGACCTGTTTAGAAGGTTTATGCTTACAGCACTGAAAGAGGGCATCAGACTGGTCCCTACGCTACATCTGTCACCTCTGGTTTCCAAATCTGCCTCTTACCATTACCCTGAAAACAGCTGTGAAATGTCCGCTTGTCCCTTCCTTTGCCTAAACTTGTAGCTTTACTATTTATCCTCGGGGAGATTGAAGGTGGCGATGGTTCTGCCAAAGGGGAGGAGAGAAAAAGGGAAATGAAAAAGTAGCCCTGATCCCAGGAAGCTGCATCAACCTCTGCCTCTCTCCTCGCAGGACCCTGGCCTTCATGCCCCACCTCCTGGATCAGCAAGGCCCAGGTTTCCCAGATGACTGAGGTCCTGACTGTTAGAATCAAAGAAATCCAGAGGAGGTTTCCAACCTGGACCCCTGACCAGCACCTGAGAGCTTTGTGTAACCCACGGGTTGGTTTCCCATCATGGAGTTAATAGGTACAAACGTAATTCATTGCACCAGATTCTCCCAAACCTCAGTTGCCTCCTAAAAAGCAACTAGGAAAGAGAATCTGAGTTAACTGCTGAGCACCCTGCCACAGCGAGGGGCTGTGGGCTTGGCATTAACCCATCTCACAAATTCCAGGTGGACTCTGTGACTACACCCGAAGCAGCCAGGACCTGAGCTGTGACTTCTGCAATGGCGTCCTTGCACGAGCCAAATACTTCAAAAGACAGGGCTTCTAACGCTTCAGCTCAGACCCAAGATCATTATCGTGCAGGCAGCTTCAGCTGTTACACAGATAAAAGTAGCCAATGAGGCCAGAAATTCTGAATCTGAGTTTGACCCAAATGTCATCAAAATAACATGAATCACATTAAAGAATTATTATGGATTTTGTGGTCTGGTGTGTGCAAATAAAAGGCTGTGTCTCTTTAAAGGTATTTCCACGGATGTGAGCTGTAATGTGGACTTCTGTGAAATGAATCCTGTGTCTCATTGGCTTGCATTGTCAGACTTAGCAAATAAAAATATCGGAATCCCAGTTAAATTTGAATTCCAGATAAAAAATGATTTTTTTTTAGTGTAAGTCCCATGCAATATTTAGAACACATTTATACTAAAATATTATGTGTTGTCTATTTGAAATTCAAATATAACTGGGCATATGGTTATTTTAGGTGGCAACTCTATCACTGATTTCTTTGATAAAAATCATAGTTTCAAATTTTAATTGAAAACTTTTGATGAGAAAAAGGGTAAGAGGGTAGCCAGTCCCATCTGCTGGAGGGAATAGTTTTGCAAAAGGAGGGAAGGGCACAACCTTTATAAAAATGACATAGCCACTGAGGACACGACAAAAACTGGTTAGAACCAACTAGGTCCAAGATGGCAGAAGGTTCGACTTCCAGCAGACTTTGAGCCTCATTATACGTTCATTGTAATACATTAGCTAAATGACATACCCAGGGGTGCCACGACTGTTCTGAGGCCAGCCATAAAAGGCCAAAAAGTGGGCAGTGGCCCAATTCCTGGAAATCTCTGCCTTTTCTCCAAAATAATTGGAATAATCTTCTCACTCATTAACCTATGAAATTACCCAGCCCATAAAAACTAACCACACCATATTCTGGGGTCTCTCGTCTTCTGAGATGGTCCACACTCCGTGGAGTGTGTACCTCCCAGGGCTGCTCTCACTTTCTGAGATGATCCCATGTCCTGTGGCCACTTTCACCTTTTGAGACGGACCACATTCTGTCTATGGAATGTGTACCTCTCTAAATAAATCTAATTATAACCTATCACTTTGCCTCTCACTGAATTCTTTCTGCGATGAGACATAAAGAACCTGAGCTTCATTAAGTCCTGAGACCAGGTGTGTGATCTCTAAGACAGTGGGATGGTGAAAAACTGAAAGCATTCCCACTAAGATCAGGAAAAAGACAAGGATGTCCACTCTCACTACTCTTATTCAACATAGTTTTGGAAGTCCTAGACAGCAATCAGAGAAGAAAAAGAAATAAAAGTAATACAAGTTGGAAAAGAAGAAATAAAACTGTCACTGTTTGCAGATGACATGATACTATACATAGAAAATGCTAAAGATGCCACCAGAAAACTACTAGAACTAATCAATGAATTTGATAAGGTTGCAGGATACAAAATTAACGCACAGATATCTCTGGCATTCCTATACACTAACGATGAAAAATCTGAAAGAGAAATTAAGGAAACAATCCCGTTTACCATCACAGCAAAAAGAATAAAATATCTGAGAATAAACCTACCTAAAGAGCTGAAAGACTTGTACTCAGAAAACTATAAGACACTGATGAAAGAAATCAAAGATGACATAAACAGATGGAGAAATATACCATGTCCTTGGACTGGAAAAATTAATACCATGAAAATGACTATACTACCCAAAGCAATCTACAGATTCAATGCAATCCCTATCAAACTACCAATGGCATTCTTCACGGAATTGTAAAAAAAAATTTTACAATTTGTATGGAAACACAAAAGACCCCAAATAGCCAAAGCAATTTTGAGAAAGAAAAACGGAACTGGAGGAATCGGGCTCCCTGACTTCAAACTATACTACAAAGCTACAGTAATCAAGAAAGTATGGAACTGACACAAAAACAGTAATGTAGATCAATGGTACAGGATAGAAAGCCCAGAGATAAACCCACGCACATATGGTCACCTAATTTACGACAAAGGAGGCAAGAACATACAATGGAGAAAAGACAGCCTCTTCAATAAGTGGTGCTGGGAAAACTGGACAGCTACATGTAAAAGATTGAAATTAGAACACTCCCTAACACCATACACAAAAATAAACACCAAATGGATTAAAGACCTAAATGTAAGACCAGACACTATAAAACTCTTAGAGGAAAACATAGGAAAAACACTCTTTGACATAAACCACAGCAAGATCTTTTTTGACCCACCTCCTAGAATAATGGAAATGAAAACAAAAATAAACAAGTGGGACCTAAATAAACCTCAGAGCTTTTGCACAGCAAAAGAAACCATAAACAAGATGAAAAGACAACCCTCGGAATGGGAGAAAATATTTGCAAATGAAACAACAGACAAAGGTTTAATCTCCAAAATATACAAACAGCTCATGCAGCTCAGTATCAAAAAACCAAACAATTCAATTAAAAAATGGGTGGAAAACCTAAATAGACATTTCAATAAATAAGATATACAGATGGCCAAGAGGCACATGAAAAGATGCTCAACATCACTAATTATAAGAGAAATGCAAATCAAGACTACAATGAGGTATCACCTTACACTGGTCAGAATGGCCATTATCAAAAAATCTAGAAACAATAAATGCTGGAAAGGGTGTGGTGAAAAGGGAACCCTCCTGCACTGTTGGTGGGAATGTAAATTGATATAACCAGTATGGAGAACAGTATGGAGGTTCCTTAAAAAACGAAAATTAGAACTACCATATGACCCAGCAATCCCACTACTGGGCATATACTCTGAGAAAACCATAATTCAAAAAGAGACATGTACCACAATGTTCTTTGCAGCACTATTTACAATAGCCAGGACATGGAACCAACCTAAATGACCATTGACAGATGAATGGATAAAGAAGATGTGGCACATATATACAATGGAATATTACTCAGCCATAAAAAGAAATGAAATTGAGTTATTTGTAGCGAGGTGGATGGACCTAGAGACTGTCATACAGAATGAATTCAGTCAGAAAGAGAAAAACAAATACCGTATGCTAACACATATATATGGAATCTAAAAAAAAAAAAAAAGGTTCTGATGAACCTAGTGTCAGGGCAGGAATAAAGATGTAGACATAGAGAATGGACTTGAGGACACAGGGGTGGGGGGAAGCTGGGGCCAAGTGAGAGTAGCATGGACATATATACACTACTGAATGTAAAATAGTTAGCTAGTGGGAAGCAGCTGCATAGCACAGGGAGATCAGCTCAGTGCTTTGTGATGACCTAGAGGGGTGGGATGGGGAGGGTGGGAGTGAGGCTCAAGAGGGAGGGGATGTGAGGATATATGTATGCATATGGCTGATTCACTTTGTGGTACAACAGAAACTAACACAGTATTGTGAAGCAATTATACTCCAATAAAGATCTATTAAAATTATAATAATAACAATAAAAGCACCATCTATACACCTAAAAAGAAAAGAAAAGAAAAAAAAGACAGTGGGTTTGAGTTCCGATCTGAGTTGTGCGGTTTCAGTTTCAGGAGAGTCACTTTTAAACTTTGCAGCATTATCTTAACCCTAGGTCTCTCTGACCTCTAAGTTTACCTCTTCCTCTCCTTCCCTGAACCACAATCTCCTTCGTCCAATTTCCCCCAACTCAGCTAAGCTCTCCCATTCTTTGGGGCACTTAATTAAGACTAATAGAGTCAGGCCACCGGAGACTGATTCCTCAGTTGGAGCTGCCCTCAAGGACACTGACCACTATACTGACAAATTATTTAATTCTAGGGGTTGTATACTATAAAAGTAATTGACATCCCATTCTATCAACACTTTACAGAGTGTCATTCTAGAACAACTATCATCATTTCAAGCAAAAATTTGTTTTGGAAATGACTGTCTCACCATATATGAAGCACTATATCAGAGCCTCTGCCCTCAGGAACTGTTAAATCATAAAATTTAGTTGGGAATAGCAGCCAGCCACACATGTGCACAGGTACAGATGCAGGGCGGACATCAGGTCATTGTGTAAAGTGCTTACCTTCTGTGTTAGGGGCTTGTGGAACCTGCTCATGACCATCAGTGTCCTTGAACTCCTGGGCTGCTTCCTTCTTATCTCCCCACCGTCTGTCTTCCAAGACCCACTCTCAAGGCTAAATCCAGTGAAGGGATCCTCACTAAGGACAATATGACTGAGAAGACCTCAGGAATATACCTTTGGAGATTTCCATTTCCCTGGCACAATGGCAATGGACTGGGAGGCACTGGTTATGAGTCCACGTGTGAACCAGTTGGGTAAATAAAGTCCTGCAATCACCAGGGCAGCCTCACGCAGCTTCTGTATTCGGATAGGGTAGGGGGTCCCCGGAGGAAAAGAACCAGATTTCACTTTTCTTTTTTTGACATAAGAGAAACCATTCTGGCCCAAGTCATTTTGTGATCTAAGCCTGGCTGCAGTGCTTGCCCTTGAACAAGTCATGAAGCCAAGCAGGACTCTGTGAGGCTCCTGGGCACAGAACCCTTTCAAACAGCTGCTAATCAGGGAAGGGAAGGGATGCAGAGACAAGGGAGGAGCGGCCAAGAGACAACAGTGCAGCCTTGCGGCAGGTCCTGGTTCTGTCTCAAAGGATACGCATAACAGTATCTTTGAGGCCTTCTGCATAACTAAAACCCCCCAAAAATGGAAAATGCTAACTACTTGATGAAGCATTCTTCAGAGAAGATCAGGAGACCAACTGAGGCCAGATTAAAGAAACCACAGAAGCTCAACAGGAGAAACTCAACCACAGAAGCTCACCTGAGACCAGATTAAAGGAATACAGGCCCTGCATACACCCTGATCCTTAACAGCAATCCTGCCCTTGAACCATTGCTATAAAACTCCTCACCAACCCTCCTGGGTTGGGACACACAGTTTCAAGGGCAATAGCCGGTTCTGTCCCCCTTTGCCTGGCAAAGCAATAAAGCTATTGGCATAGCCTTTGAGGATATGACATAAACTGGTTAGAACCATCTAGGTCCAAGATG